CCTGGCTTTAGACGATCCCTTTTATAGTAACTTTATATTGTAGAACAAGGTTATTTTTATTTAACAAAGAAACTTATTTTAGTATAAGATATTCGCTATACTTTATTATGGTATTATTTTTAAGCGCATATGTCTTATTTAGGCTGATACCGATAAGCAATAGCGATAAAACATGTATAAAACACAGTATTATCTTACCTCGTATGTACACCTCATATATTTTTGTAGGTCGTATCCTTTTCTGATTATATTTCTATAACATTCTTATACTTCGATCTCTTATCTTATTGTGAAATCGCCTCAAAATTTTTGTTGTAGGAGTTTTTATATATACTTACCTATCATCAAATTTAATCAAATGCTTATAAAAACATCAGCTCCTCTATTTTATTTTATAAAATAATTACTATTCTTCTTGAGTAGGACTATCGGCTCTAGGACTTTAAACCCTAACAGCTCATCGAATGGTATTGTTTTGCTCGCCTATTAGTAATATCGTGGTTTTTTAATATGATACAAAAATCTGTTGGGAAGCAGGAATATAAAACCGCATTTGCCAGTCCTGCTAGTATATCACAAAAAGAACCTCCCAAGAAGTTGTTACGGCAAGCTCAAGCCCAAATTAATAAAAAATATCAGGAAGAAGAACAAAGTGCAATCTTACCAGAAGAACGTAACTCAGCAATATTAATTCCTGATATTGTACCACTATTGAGGTCAAACATTATTTTTAATCCAAACCGGGTATGTATTATTTCTAGTTATATTAGTATAAGATTGTTTTTTGTGTTGATAAGATGTCCATCCAAGCTATTTGTACAGATGTACTTAGTCATGCAAAAAAATTTCATTTCTAATACAGGAATAATAAGTCTTCTGACTATGTATGTTGTGAGACTCAACGGGCTCATAATTACTACTTGGTGGCTCAGTACTTTGGTAAAGATATCTCATTTGTTCTGCAAAAAAGTGCAATCTAACCATTTTTTTTTCTAACCAATGGTCTAATATTTTTTTGATAATTAATCATTTTATATTTTTTTCTATCATTTTGTTAGCATCGCATCCAGCAAGCCACCCGTAGACAATACACTCAGGACAAAATATATTATATTGAAAAGGAGTAGACAAGTACCCCTTATGCCCATCAGATCGCGAATCAAATGTAAGTATTAAGACTCAATATAAGATTTTCACGAAGAGCTTGTTAGTGGAGACTCTTATTAGAAAAGCAAAAATGGACAATAATACCCTCAAATTATTTGAGATCCCTCTGACTTTTTGATAATAGTAAATAGAGATATTATTAATTCTAATAATTTTCATAATAAAGAAACTAGTGTGTCTAGTTTTTCTTTAGAAAAACATATGTGGATTGCATTTAGGAGGTAGCTTGGGTTTGGGGGAAAATTAAAAGAAGAGAAGTAAGACAACATCTTCGATTGTGTTGGCAAAATTAAAGCATGCTTTGCATCTTCGTAGCAATAAAGAATTATCCGTATCAACTGCTCTATGTATTACAAAAAAAGAAAAGAACTATACACTTACGTTAGTATGTGATTTAAAATCTACTGAAGGCTTAGTTGGGTTTTATTATATAATAAACCCAGAGTGTGTTGTAGATAAAAATAATCAGACTTTGCTCTATCTAGTAAATCTAGATAATTTAGATGCTATAAATAAAGCAACTAATGCTATTAACTTATACTATTTTCATATATTAGCTTTCCCATCCATCAAAGCAAAAGTTTTTGGAAAAATTTTATTAAACACTTCGGTGTTTTTACGTTAAATAACCTTCTCCCTTATATAAGTTTCTTTGTTAAATAAAAATAACCTTGTTCTACAATATAAAGTTACTATAAAAGGGATCGTCTAAAGCCAGG